TAGCTATAATTTCATTAGAGAGAGGCTAACTGAAATAAACAAATGATCAGAAAAAAAAACATGAGGAACAGATATTTTGAGTGTTTACCACTGGGAGAAAATCACCACAAAGACACCCTGCAAGCATCACCTTCTATAATGAAAGTCTTCACAGAGTTGACAAGCATAAACAGGGTCCTATGTGGATGGAATCTGGCATCTGAAATGCCATCTTCCAACACTGCCATTCAAAGGGAAGGCCATGAGCTAGTTTGGGATAGCCACGTGACGCTGGTGGAGTGGGTACAATCAGAACTAGAGGAGAACCATGCAGCCATTCTGGATCCAAATCTAGAGCCAAGACCTAGCAAGCTCCACACCAGCAAGATCGAAGTGGTCACAAATTCAAGTTCTTTTAAAGGGAGCAGGCAGCTAAGAAGACTAAAAGATATCTTGTTAAGAAAATATTTACAGAGACTGAAATAAAATAAATATTTCACTTCTCTCTTATCTCTATTGTATTAAAAAATAACAGCCATGAGTAAGACAGCATGGTGGAAACTATAAAGAACTAAAGGGAGAAATTGATATGCCAATCCAGGCCTTGCTTGCCAAATCTTCCCGTTTTTCACGGGACATTAGAAATCTAGATTTGATACGAAATCTTCCGGTTGTTAAAATATTAGCAATTGATTCCATTAACACACACACACACACACCATAAAAATGAACCCTACATGTGGCAAACAAAACATAACTACAGGTCAGATTTGGTCCATGTCCTACCTAGGAATAGAGGCTCTAAGTTCCCCAACATAAAGAAACATGAAACAACTACATGGGCAATTATGGTTACTTGTGGTCAGAAATAAAAACAGAGAGTAGAATCCAGCAAGTTGGACAAGGTGAGGAGAAGCACAGGGAAGCTGGAGTAAGAGAGAGCCCAGAAGCCAGGAAGTTCAGTGAGTTCAGACAATGGTACCAGAGATCCAAACCACAGAGAGCAGCCTGAGTCAAGGGATGTTTTGCCCAACAGAGCCATTCTTTCTAGTTGTACTCTGAAGCTGGTAATGGGTGGTAGCCACCCCTGGAACTGAAGTATGCACCAGGAAGTGAATGCAAGTTGTTGGCAGGGAAAGCCCTCTCCCTGCAAGTGGTGCTGTGATCCCTGCTGGAGCAGGGACAATCCAGCTGGGATTACAGGCGGATTCTGATGGTAAGGGTCTCTGAATTTTCCATTCTAAATAGGAAGCACACTTCAGAGACAAAGAGGTTAAGCCCTACTATATTTCAGAGTCCCTTGTCTGCCAGGGCTCCTTGAGTGCTCTACAGATAAAGCACATTTTGCTATGACACCAACCAACAGCACTGGTCCCAAGCAACAACATGCAGGCTGATTCCTCAAATGTCAGTTTGCACAATCTGCCCTCTTTCTTGTAGACCACCCAGTCTTTTTATAATGATTCTACACTGTCTCATTTATTTCCTTCATGGCAGCAGAGATCCCAATTTCCTTAGTTGAATTTCATTCCCTCCTTATGCAACTGCTGAATAATTGGTAATTTCTGGCTCTTTATTAGTTAGCTCAGGACGATTTTTTCTCTCTAATCAGCTGAAAAATATAGTAGAATTAATAAAATCATACTTTTCTACTCTACTTGAAGAAAAGTATGGAACAAAGATAGGAAGAGAGAAATAACAAGTACAAAAGATTAGAAGAGAAAGGAAGCAAGAGGGCAGATGTTACACATAGGTAGTTCCTGTTTCAGAGTGTCTTGTTTACTGAGTGTTGTGAAAGAAATGGACACGAAAACAGTCTTAATGAATTTACCCTATCATTTGGTGCAGCCCATGTTATTGCATTATTGTAATGAAAAACACATCAGAATATGTCTAGACACATGACATACTCCTGGTAGAGAGTTCCCTGCACTTCAAAAAATTGTGGTTCAATTTCCTTCTGGGAAACGCTCCAATGGCAACATTTCAGGTTCTTGAAAGGCTCTTCAGAATGACCGCCTAAGGGGAGGCCACCTCCAAAAGTAGACTTCAAGCACCAGGGCACTGCAAGGGCTGGCAGAGCTTTCCATGGGAAAATGGTCAGAACAGCATTGCCCCCCTGTAGCAACCCCATGTACAATAATCCACTGATAGGTTTTGCTATATACAGAGTAGCTGTGACAGTCTAAATAAAACACTGAAAAGAACCTGTAAACAGAAGAGAAGTAATGAAATACTTTGTTTTGGTGATTCTTTAATTTTAACTACATATGGATTAAACAAATCCAATTGGTATAACTTTCACCAATGTGTTGATTTAAACCAAATTCTATAGGCAGTGGAAGTCAGGAAAGGCAAGCAATACCACTTACCTCTTATAGAGTAAATGATGCTATGCCTGTGTTCTCACAGAAGAGTCATAAAAAGAATAAGTTCCAAATTGCAGCCATTATTCTCAGATTGTAATTCTGGCTGTGCCACTCTCAGAGATTTAAGTCTGAGAATGCCTGAAGCTGGGAAAATTCCATGATCTATCATGCATTTGTAAAACAAAGATTATAAAATAAAACAAAGAGAACTCTAATTCAACTCCTAGAATTCTCTGAAGGTTTTAGCACATATGGGGCAGGATGATTAGAGAGGTGTGGGAACTGTACTCTATCTGTACTCAACAGATCAATAAGCATTTCCTGAGAGCATAACAGGTACCATAACTAGATCAATGGCTCACCAGGGTGAATATAAAGTATTTAAGGGACCAACGATCAAAATTAGGAAAGAGGAGTAAATACAAGATGGGGAAATAATTAAGAAGCAGGACAAAATTGAATATGATCAAATTTAGAATGTTGAGGGTGTAGATAAGCTCTATGAGTTTGGTGAATGAGTTGGAGTAATAGAGAGGGTATCTTAGCAGAGGTGAACTTTTAGTTGGGCTTTGAACCCTGAGTAGACACAACGTTCATACTAGAATGGGAAAACATAACAGCAAATGCACAAATTGGGGAACACAAGTATAGGGAAGGCAAAGAGCAACAATATTGTGGCTTTGTGGATACTTCAGCTTGACTGGCATTTATTGAAAAGGGGCAGTCAAGTGAGTCAGGATAGAAATTGATGAATTCTAAAGTCTTAAAAGCAGACCTGGAGGAAGTAAAATTTCTCTTCAGAGAATTTAGCCCTCAATGTAATGACTAACCCAAAAGAAGTTTGCCTTGCCCTAAGAAGCAGGTCATGTGTGGCTCAAAACACACAACGGTCCCACACAACAACCAAATCCCAAGACCAGAATGCAAGCCAAAGAAGGACTTTTCTGAAACTACCTCCATTGTGCCACTGAGTGTCACCACCTTCCTTTTCTAGTTCTGGAGTTGGTTCAACTATGTCTTCTCTGTGGATTCTCCTCCCTAGCCTGAATCTTTGAACAACTATGAGTTATAAATACCAAAACATTAAAATTTGCTTCTATTTGGTTAATAGATTGTATTCATTTAGGACTCACAGTATTTCTACTACCATTGCTATCACCTTCACCAACATCCCATTCTATGAATTAACCTGCTTGTGGTCCCCGGCCTATATACTGCCCTAGTCATTCTTTCTCTTACCCTATCTAATTCCAGGTTGAAAGAAAGTTCTGTTGACAAATAGTTATTAGACACCTACTAGTGACAGATGCTGAACTAAACACTGGGGTCACAGAGACAAATAAGCACCAGATCTCAAAGAATACAGTCAATCAGCAAATTGGATCTGCCTGCATTCATTCATTTGACATCTATCAAGGGGCCTATTATGTGCCAACCACAATACTAGGCCTTGGGGATACAAAAATATATAAATATGGTACCTGCTATCTAAGAACTTATGATTTAGAAGACACAGAGAGGAAAGCAACACAAACAAACCACATAATAAAGGAACTTCCATTTGACCCAGTGATCCCACCTCTAGGAATATATCCCAAGAAACTAATCAGAAAGGATATATGCACTCCTATGTTCATAGCAGCACAATTTTCCATAACTAAGATTTGGAAACAGCCTACGTGTCCATCAGTAGAAGAGTGGATTAAAAAACTGTGGTACATCTACACAATGGAATACTACGCTGCGGTAAAAAAAGAAATTCTTACCATTTGCAACAGCATGGATGGAACTGGAGAGCATTATGCTAAGCGAAACAAGACCGTCAGAAAAGATAAATATCACAAGATCTCACTCATTTGTGGAATATAATGAACAACATAAACTGATGAACAAAAATAGATCCAGAGACAGAGAAGCATTGATCAGACAGTCAAACCTCAGAGGGAAGGTAGGGGAGGGTGAGGGTAAGGGGGAGAGATCAACCAAAGGACTTTGTATGCATAAATATAAGCTTATCCAATGGACACAGACACTAGGGGGGTGAGGGCATGTGCCTGGGGGGGGCGGTAATGAGGGGATAAGGACACATATGTAATACCTTAATCAACACAGAAGGGAAAAAAAGCAACATATATGCTGGAGCAAACAAGAGTAAGAGAATAATCTATTGTACCTTGGGGGACACAAGTCTTTATGGAGGAGGTGATTCATGAACTCAGATTTGAAACTTAAGGAGGTGTTTAAGAGACAAAGTAGGTGGAGAAAAACACTCAATGTAGAGATGATAGCATGAGGGAATATGGCAGCCTCGGTTATTCAAACCAGTCTTCCCGTTGAAAACAACAATGTTGTATAATGTACAAAAACTTCTTAAAAGCATTAAAAAGCTGACAAGAAGCTATGAAATAACTAGGCTAAAATCTAAGTGCATCAGAAGCTTACAGAGATGAGCAGAGCTCTGGAGTTGCTTTTGTTCTAGGACATTTGTCAGGTAACTGAGTTTTCTTTTGTAGATCTCTCAGGGTGAGGGGAAATAAAAATCAAAGCTCAGGTCCTGGAAAGTGAGGAGACTAATTGAAAAGATTTCTACATTAAACTCTTCTCTCAAAGGGATATATTCTCAGGAAAAGAGTGAATTAGAAATAAACTCACCTGATACTTCAGGAGACTAAGTATATTTTTAGTTTCTGCTGAGCAGCTTAGGGGAGAATGTTTCTGAGAAGTAGTAACCATAAGATGTCCTTTGAGTAAATCTGAAGACCAAATTCCCATCACTTTTTAAAACGGTACCCTAGCAAGAACCAGAAGTAGTAAAATGCAGAAACAGATCTTCAAAGACTTCACATAGTGAATCACTGTACATAAATGATAAATCATTCACTCTTACTATATTTAAAGAAGTAAAGAAAAAGTGGGATAAAATTTGAAAGAAAAAAATATCAAAATGTGCCTTAGCAAATTAAAAAATAATTGAATATATTTGCATATGACATGATATTGTACATAGAAAACCCTAAAGACTCCACCAAAATAATACTAGATTTAATAAATGAATTAGGCAAAGTAGCAGGACACAAAATTAACATCTGAAAACCGACGGCATTTTTATACATCAATAATGAACTCTCAAAAAGAGAAACTAAAAAAAATCCCATTTACCATTGCAACAACAAAAAATAAAATACCTAGGAATAAACTTAACCAACGAGGTAAAAGACCTATACTTGGAAGACTACAGGACACTGAATATACTATGTTCATCTATTGGAAGAATTAACATCATTAAAATGCCCATGGTAGCCCTAGCCATTTTGGCTCAGTGGATGGAGTGTCAGCCTTTAGATTAAAGGGTCCGAGTTGGATTATGGTCAAGAGCACACATCCAGGTTGCGGGCTCAATCCCCAGTAAGGGGCATGCAGGAGGCAGCCAATCAATGATTCTTTCTCATCACTGATATTCTCTCTCTCTCTCTCTCTCTCTCTCTCTCTCTCTCTCTCTCTAAAAATCAATAAAAAACATATTTTAAAATGTCTATGCAAAACATATTTTAAAATGTCCATGCAATCAATAGACTCAACACAATTCCTGTTAAAATACCAACAACATATTTCATAGAACTAGAACAAATATTCCAAAAATTTATATGGAACCAAAAAATAGCCCCAGAAATCTTGAGAAAAAGAAACAAAGTTGGAGGGATCACTATACTGGATATCAAACTATACTACAAAGGCATTATAATCAAAACATCCTGGTACTAGCACAAGAACAGGCATATAGACCAAAGGAACAGAAAAGAGACCCCAGAAATCAACCCAGTCATTATGGTCAATTAATATTTGACAAAGAAAGCAAGAACATACAATGGAGTAAAGACAGTCTCTTCAATAAATGGTGTCAGGAAAATTGGATAAATACATGTAAAAAATGAAACTAGACCACCAACTTACTCCATACATAAGAATAAATTCAAAATGGATAAAAGGCTTAAAAGTGAGACACAGAACCATAAAAATCCTGGGAGAAAGCATAGGCAGTAAAATCTCAGGCATCTCACAAGCAGAATTTTTGCTAATACATCTCCTAGGGAAAGAGAAACAAATAAAAATAAACAAGTAGGACTACATCAAACTAAAAATTAGTGTAACAAAAAAATCATCAATGAAACAAAAAGACAACCTACTAAATGGGAGAACATACTCACCAATGATACATCCGATAAGGGGATAAAATGCAAAGGGAACCCATAGTATGGGAGAACTTATTTGCCAATGACACATCTGATAAGGGGTTAATTTCCAAAATATGCAAAGAACTTATACAACTCAACAAGAAGAAGACAAACAATCCAATTAAAAAATGGGCAAAGGACCTAAATAGACACTTCTCCAAAGAGGGCATACAGATGGCCAAAAGACATATCAAAAAATGCTCAACATCACCAATCATCAGAGAGATGTAAATTAAAACCACAATGAGGCCTGGAGAAAAGGGAATCTTAGTACACTGCTGGTGGGAATGCAGACTGGTGCAGCCACTGTGGAAAAGAGTATGGAGGTTCCTCAAAAAATTAAAAATGGAACTGCCTTTTGACTCAGTGACCTCCTTCTAGGAATATATCTTAAGAATCCCGAAAGATGAATCAAAAAGAGTATATGCACCCCTATGTTCATAGCAGCATTATTTACAATAGCTAAGTTATGGAAACAGACCAAGTACCCATCAGTAGATGAATGGATAAAAAAGCTGATACAATGGAATACTATGTGGCCATAAGAAGGAAGGAACTCTTACTCTTTGAGACAGCATGGACAGACCTGGAGATTATTATGTTAAATGAAATAAGCCAATCTGAGAAAGACTAATATCACATGATGTTACTTACATGTGAAATCTATGGAATAAAATAGGACCATAGATATGGAAGCATGAAACAGACTGACAGATCTCAGAGGATAGATGGGAAGGAGACCAGGAAGAGATTAATCAAAGAATGTATCTGCACATATGTGTCCATGGACACAGACAATAGACAGGTGAAGGCCTGGGGTGTGTGGGAGGTCGGTGGAGGGGGGCAAACGGGAGAAAGTAGGGGACATGTG